GCCGCCTTACTCTTTTCAGTATTTGCGCCGCTCTCAGAAACAACAGCGACCCTGCTCGAGACTGCCTCCCTTTCTATTCAGGGCCAGGTCCTTGCCTCGCCGCCGACAGCCCCCATCTCCACCAAGACAATCCTGTCGCTCGATACTTCCTTGTGCTTTGCCCTTGGCTGGGGCTCCATTGGCGGTATCGCATCGGCGCAGCCAGGCTCGGGCATGCGTTTTCGAGGCGGGATAGGTTGAAATTCTTCGGAGGAGGTGCTTGCAAGACCTCATTGGGCGGGTGATCTGGGAATGGGAATAGCGGGCCCTGTTATAGAACAGTAGTCTCCCATGTTGGGAATGATTCTCATGATGGTCGCATGCTTCATGTGGAAACATCGCGCATGAGGGTATTCGGATTGTTGTTGTTGTTGCTGCTGCTGTTGCTGTTGCTATTGTTGTTGTTGTTGTTGTTCCCCATATCCTAAGATGGGGTTATTGTTATTACTTGGGCGCGTCCAACTCCCTCTCCCTCCTCCTCTTTCCTCCTCCCCTCCTCCTCTTTCCTCATACTCAGACCTATTCATATTCAGACTTACTCATACTCAGACCTACTCATACGCAGACCTACCCATATTCAGACTTACTCACATTCAGATTTACTCATACACAGACTTACTCACACCCATACGTACTCATACACAGACTACTCATACCCAGACTTACACATACACAGTATTACTCATACTCAGACTTACTCATACCCATACGTACACATACACAGACTTTCTCATACACAGACCTACTCATACCCAGACGTATTCATACACAGACTTACTCATACACAGACTTACTCATACTCAGGCATACTCATACTCAGAACTACTCATACTCAGACTTACTCAACACACATCAAATTTGGAGGATGTCTCAAGCGGGGCGCTGGTTTCAGCACCCCTAAGGGGAGCCGCCAGGGGTGTTTGCACGGGCTCGTTCGCGGCCATTTTGTGGGGATGTCTCAGGCGGTTTGCTTGTTTCTGGGCGACATCCTTCGCTTGGAGAGCAGATTGTGAGGATGTCTCAGGCGGGGCGCTGGTTTCAGCACCCCTAAGGGGAGCCGCCAGGGGTGTTTGCACGGGCTCGTTCGCGGCCATTTTGTGGGGATGTCTCAGGCGGTTTGCTTGTTTCTGGGCTCAACATCCTTCGCTTGGAGAGCAGATTGTGAGGATGTCTCAGGCGGGGCGCTGGTTTCAGCACCCCTAAGGGGAGCCGCCAGGGGTGTTTGCACGGGCTCGTTCGCGGCCATTTTGTGGGGATGTCTCAGGCGGTTTGCTTGTTTCTGGGCTCAACATCCTTCGCTTGGAGAGCAGATTGTGAGGATGTCTCAGGCGGGGCGCTGGTTTCAGCACCCCTAAGGGGAGCCGCCAGGGGTGTTTGCACGGGCTCGTTCGTGGCCATTTTGTGGGGATGTCTCAGGCGGTTTGCTTGTTTCTGGGCTCAACACCCTTCGCTTGGAGAGCAGATTGTGAGGATGTCGCTCGTTCGCGGCCATTTTGTGGGGATGTCTCAGGCGGTTTGCTTGTTTCTGGGCTCAACATCCTTCGCTTGGAGAGCAGACTGTGAGGATGTCTCAGGCGGGGCGCTGGTTTCAGCACCCCTAAGAGGGGGCCGCCAGGGGTGTTTGCACGGGCTCGTTCGCGGCCATTTTGTGGGGATGTTTCAGGCGGTTCGCTTGTTTCTGGGCTCAACATCCTTCGCTTAGAGAGCATATTGTGAGGATGTCTCAGGCGGGGCGCTGGTTTCAGCACCCCTAAGGGGAGCCGCCAGGGGTGGTTGCACGGGCTCGTTCGGGGCCATTTTGTGGGGATGTCTCAGGCGGTTTGCTCGTTTTCATGCCCAACGCCGCCGGCGGGGCTGCACCTCCAAAAGTGGTGAAACGCGCCCTGGGGAACCAGGGTTGAGGAGGAAGAGGGGGAGGAAGAGGAGAAGGAGGAGGAGGAGGAGGACTGGGGGAGGAAGCAAGGGGATCAGGACGATGAGGCGAAGGATGACGACAAGGATGAGGAGGAGGATGTCTAAGAGATTGAGGACGAGGAGGAGGATGGCGTGAGCGAAGGAAATGACAGGAACGAGGATGAGGAGGAGGAACAGGAGGAGGAGGAGGAGGGGCATGGGGGTGCGGAGGGGGAGGACCCCCTCCCACTCGAAATCTATCGCTCGGCCCTGTCGCCCACGTGGACGCGCTATTGTAGTCGACCGCTCATGAACAGACACTCGCCACGGCATGACATAAAACATGACATGCACATATGGGGAGCTCCACGCAGTGAGTAATTGTTGTTGTTGTTGTTGACGATTCACTTCTGGAGAATAATTATTGCTGATCTTCGGAAAGTTGCCCGGGCGCTCTCGCCTCGACGCTGGCCTCATTTTCTGTGAAAGCGAGGCTCCCGCTCGAGCGGGGGCGTGATTGTGTATGTGTGCCTTTGTGGGCCCGGTTACGACCACAACGGCTCCCGCT